AGTTGTAGAAATATTGTTTACAAATCGATATGTATAATTTTACCATAATGTATTAATAGCTTAGCCTAATTGACACAACTAATTTCTTTTTTATAGCTTATTACTTCTTTTCAGCAATTACAGTGTACCTTACAATTAGGAATTCATGTGTTGAATTTTCATTTCTGATTGGTGATGGCTGGAGTGTGTGTTTGATAAGAATTTGGCTTAAGATAAATTGATATGGTGCTTCTAACTCTCAATTATATGTCATATTAGCATAGACAATTATAATTCATGAATAGTTCACTAGCCTCTTATTAGTTATATTATGCAACTAGGTAGGGTATAGCAAAGTTATTCTGGTTTGCATCTTAAAGCTTCATGTTTCCTCTTTAGAGGAGATAGTAATAAGTAATAAAAAGTCAGAAATACAATCAAAGAGAACTGAAAGGCCTGAATAATCCACCAACTCAGTAATTGACTTCTGAGAAATAAAATATTGGCTGTGATTTCATGCATTGCTATTGAGCATTGTTTAGATTTAACTTTTGTTCTCTACTGATTGAATTAAAGTTGGAGGCCTAATGCTCTGTATCTCATTTCTAAACTCTTACCCTTTCCATCGTCTCTTATTGTGAACTCCTGAGATTCACACATGATAAAATAATGAGGAGGTGAAAATCAGAGTTAGAAAAAAGAGTGTGTATTTTAAATCTGCAGTCTCCGCAGAGAGAGAAAGGCAATGATAAGTTTTACGAATCAATAGAAATTGATGCTTTATGCCAAAGAAAACCTAAGATTTGAGTCCTGCCTTCCATACCATTACTATACAAATAAAAAGAAATCAATAGGCCCAGAACATAAGCTATTAAAAATTTACTTCCAGCAACTATTTTCAATGCTGAAGGCATTGTTTACTATTCTGACTCAGAAAATGAAGTGTAAGAAATACTAATTTAAAAATTATCTTTTAAATGTCCAGATCTTTTATATATTACAGTTTGAAATAAGATTAAATGTTAATTGTGGATTTTAAAATGACTCCTTCATTGTGTGAGGTCCTTAGGTGACACAAACAGCTTGCACTTGACTACTAACGTAAAGGTTGGTGGTTCGAACCTCTCTAGTGGCCTGGAAATGTGCTTCTGTAAAAGTTACAGCCAAGAAAATCTCCCAGTGCAATCCTGCTCTGTAATGCCTTGGTGACCATGAGTCAGAATCAACTCTATGGCAACGGGCTGGGTGTTTGCTTTTTATTTGTTTGTGAGGTTACTTAAGAAGTTTTAAAAGCCCCTTTTTAGAAAAAGATCTGTAGATAAATAATTATTAACAGACTGTGTCAGACCACATTGGACCAATTTCTCATCTCTTAGATAATCTGTTAGCTGTAACAGTAGGAGATGTGATCAAAAGGTTTTGAAATGAGAACGGAGTGTGAGTACAGGGGAATTGTCAGAACCAGTGAAGACAGTTCTTCACAAAGTTAACTAAGGAGGGGACTTGAAAACTGAGCATAAGAAGTTTGAACTTGAAGCTCATTTTGGAGTGTTAAGACTTAATTAGTGAGGTTTTAATAGGTTTCAGGTAGGGGTAAAATTAGTTAAAGCAGATATTTTTATAGAAACAAAGTGATTCTATGTCCCTATGTTTCAGTTCTGTACTTCTTTCTCACCAATGGTTCATGTACAGTCAGCAATGCTTACTTGACTATAGTCATCCAAGGTATTTTGTGGTACCCAAAGTGTTACAGGGAAGTATAACAAAATTTCTGAATGCCCTGGCTATTAGTGAAGTACCATTTATTAATGGTTATTACATAGCAGGTCAGTTTATGTGCAAGTCATAGCTGGCTTTCTCTAACTCCCTTTTTCTCTCATTGAAGAAAGCAAACCTGAATGGAAATGATAAGGGGAAAATGATAAATCTTTTTTGATTCATTAATTTATATACTTGTGTGCTTTGCTATTAATAGCAAACTACTTGGTATACTCGCATTATGATTGCTGTGCACTGTTACTATGTTGGACACTGCTTGATTTTATTATAATTAAGTCTCTATGATGAATGATCCTACAATAAATCATTTTCCTTGGTGGTATTTATGTCACATCTTTTATTCTACAGAATGTAGATCATTGTGTAGTGAATGGGAGGTGAAGAGGAAATGAGACACTAAATTCACCGTATTTCTTTTTTCATGCAATGAAACAAACTTCCCTCTATCTCTTTGTGTTTCAAGCATCTTTACAGAAAAATAAAAACAAATAGAAAAAATTGCAAACCAAGTAAATTGTATTTAGTCATCATGTGATGACTAAGGAGCAAAGATGATCAAAGAGGAGAGGTCTTGGCATTAAATAAGAGAGTTAAAATGTGTTTGAAGAGAAAACAGTTGTCGTGTTGTAACCTTATGCACAGCAGAATGAAACACTGCCCAATCCTGAGCCAACCTCACTGCTGTTGCCACGCTTGAGTCCATCGATGCTGCCACTTGGCCAGTCCATCTCGTTGGGGGGTCTTCCTCTTTTCCTCTGACCCTCCACCCTACCAAACATGATATCCTTCTCCAGTGACTGGTCCCTCCTTACAATGTGTCCGAAGTATGAGAGACAAAGTTTGGCCATCTTGGCCTCCAGGGAGCCTTCTGGCTGCACTTCTTCCAAAACGAATCTATTGGTTCTTTTGCCAGCCCATGGCACTTTCAGTATTCTCCAGCACGTTAACTCAAAAGCATCAGTTCTTCTATGATCTTCCTTATTCACTGTCTAGCTTTCGCATGCATATGAGGTTATCGAAAATACCATGGCTTAGGTCAGGCGCACCTTAGTCCTCAAGCTGACATCTTTGCTCTTCAACACTTTAAAAAGGTCTTGTGCAGCAGATTGGCCTAATGCAATACATTGTTTGATTTCTTGACTTCTGCTTCCATGAGTGTTGTTAGTTGATCCAAGAAGAATGAAGTCATTGACAACTTCAGTCTTTTCTCTGTTGATAAGAATGTTGTTTATTGGTCCAGGGGTGAGGATTTTTGTTTTCTTTACATTGAGATGTAATTCATACCAAAGGCTGTGCTCTTTGATCTTCATCAGTAAATGTTTAAATCCTCTTCACTTTCAGCAAGCAAGGTTGTAGCATCTGCATAGCACAGGTTGTTAATGAGTCTTCCTCCAATCCTGATGCCACGTTTTTCTTCATAGAACCCAGCTTCTTGGATTATTTGCTTAGCAAATTTGGTTGAATAAGTATGGTGAAAGAATACAACCCTGTCGCACAACTTTCTTAATTTTAAACCATTCAGTGTTCCCATGTTCTGTTCAAACAACTGCCTCTTGGTCCAGGTACAGATTCCTCATGAACACAACTAAGTGTTCTGGAATACTCATATTTCACAATGTTGTTCATAGCTTGTCATGATCCACACAATCAAAATCCTTTGTGTAGTCAATAAAGCACAGGTAAACATCTTTCTGATATTCTCTGCTTTCAGCCAAGATCTATCGGATATCAGCAATGATATCCCTCATTCCACAGCCTCTTCTGAATCCAGCTTGAACCTCTGGAAGTTCTCTGTCAATGTATGATTGTAGCCCTTTTTGTATTACCTTTAGCAAAACTTTACTCACATGGGATATCAAAGAGATTGTCCAATGATATCCACATTCCGTTGGTTTACCTCTCTTTGGAATGGGCACATGGATCTCTTCCAATCAGTTGTCCAGATATTTGTCTTCCAAGTTTCTTGGCAGAGATGAGTGAGTTCCTCCTATGCCGCCTCACTTTCTTGAAAGATTTCAATTTTTATTCCATCAATTCCTGGTGCCTTATTCTTCGCTAATTCCTTCAATGCACCTTGGACTTCCTCCTTCAGTACCATTGGCTTTTGATCATATGCTACCTCTTGAAATGGTTGAACATCAACCATTTCCTTTTGGTACAGTGACTCTGAGTATTCCTTCCATCTTGTCTTGATGCTTTCTGCATCATTCAATAATTTGCCCAGAGAATCTTTCAGTAACGAAAGTCGAGTCAAAACAGTAGAAATAATTAATTTATCTAAGGACAGTGTTATAGATTGAAATGTTCCCCAACCCCCCAAAACAATATGTGTTGAAGTTTTAACCCCTGTACCTGTATATATGATCCTATCTGAAAATATGGATTTCATTTTTGTGTCTTAATGAGAAGATAATGGAGTAGAATGTGTCCTAACCCAAATCTTTTTCAGTGCTACCTTATAAAAAGAGCAGGATAGACACACACCCAGAGGACAAGGTGGATGCATCAGGCCAAGAATGTCAGGCAGTGTCAGCAGTTACTGGAAGTTTAAAGGACAAGTAACCTTCCCCTAGAGCCGACACCCTGAATTCAAACTTCCAACCTGAACTGTAATGCATGGTCTATTCTTTAAAGTGCTACCTGTTTGCTAAGGTAGCACTAGATAACTCAGACAGACATCAGTCTTCTGTTTACTGCTGGACTATCACTTCCTAGCAGGGAAGCTGCTTTCCAGTTTAGCTGTATTCCGTTGTTGTTGTTGTTCTGTGCTGTGGAGTCGGTTCCGACTCATAGCGACCCTGTACAGGGTTTCCAAGGCTGTAAATCTTTACCGGAGCAGAAAGCCTCATCTTTCTCCTGCGGAACAGCTGGTAGTTTCGAACTGCTGACCCTGAGGTTCACAGCCCGATTCGTAACCACTTTAGGAGTTCCTTAAAAATCATAGAATTTGAAAACAAGGGAGGGCTTTACACATCACCAGTATGTCTTCCTCATTTTTTACATTTCTAGCAGTTTACTCATTGTAACCCTGTTACTGTCTTATCTTTTGAGTCCTCAGTAGTCTCTATCATAGAACTTAGAAGGTGTTGTATGAATATATAGTAAACTAAGTTAGATAATTTAGTCTGCATTAATATTAAACAAATATCATAAATAAAGCCTCATAATTCTTAGCAATCTTAGCAACTGATTGTCACAAGTGACTTTTTATTTATTTATTTTTACCTCTTTTCTCTAACCAGGTTTGCATCTGCTGGTGATGATGGAATTGTAGTTGTGTGGAATGCCCAGGTATGTGCTGATTTCTCAGAGGATTGTCTATTAAAGACATGATATGTATAGTTGAATATTCATTCATTCATTCATAAAGTGTAACCAGAAGATATGGGGTGGGGAGTCTCCAAATATTGATGGGAAAATGTAATGAAAAGATAGTGGAGTTTTTCCACCAACTTTTTGAATATCCCTTGAATCTCTATATCCCTGTATCCTAATTTAAGGTTAATTAATACTTGAAAAGAAGTACTTAAAGTACATCCATTTAAAATAGGGACTATTATTTCATGATAAAGAGAGTAATTTTTTTTTATTAGGATTTTGTTCTGAGAAACCAAAAGCTAAATGAAGACAATAAAGATTTTACTCTTAATTGAATAGATTTTAGGTTATCACCAGCTATATGCTGATTCTTAAAATTAATGAAATGTTTTATAGGCACATACATTTATTTCAGACTTTTATGTTAGCCACGTTTTCTCATGTTTGACTTAAATAACAACATAATAAAGACTTCTTTCAGCAAAAATATTTAAAGCGAAACCAAATTTATGAAACCTCCTAACCCTTTGTGTGGTGCTGTGGGTTAATGCGCTAGACTGCAACGCTGTCTGAAACGCAAGGTCGGCGGTTCAAGCTCACCAACCGCTCCTTAGAAATCCTATACAGGGTTGCTATGGGTCGGAACTGACTCAATGGCAATTAACAACAACAACCCTTTGATATTGAAAGTAGTATTCTCTTTGAAAGTTTATTTGTATTCTTTCTTGTGTTATCTGTAAGTGACTCTGTTTGAAAGTAGTTCTTTAACAGCACTTTCATCATGTTACTGAAGTTGCACAACTCAAAATAAGAAGCAGCTGCAAACGTTTATTAATAATTGGAACATAGGATGTCCTAATTATGACTCTAGGAAAATTGGAAGTTGTCAGAAATGAATTGGAATGATAAAGAGCTACGTTGTAGGCATTGGTGAGCTGAAATTGACTAGTATTGGCCATTTTGAATAAGACAGTTGTATGATTTACTGTGTCAGGAATGACAGACTGAAGAGGAATGGCATCAGATTCATCATCAAAAAGAGCATTTCAAGATTTATCTTGAAGAAAAATGCTGTCTATGATAGGAAAATATCCATATGCCTACCAGAAAGACCAGTTAATATCATTGTTTTTCAAATTTACGCACCAACCACTAAAGCCAGTGATGATGCAGTTGAAGAATTCAACCAATCTTCAGTCTGATATTGACCAAACATGCACTCAAAGATGCATTCATAACTACTGGTGATTGGAATGTAAAAGTTGGAAGCAGAGGAAAGATCCATAGTTGGAAAATAGACCAGGGTGATAGTGATGATGCATGATAGAATTTTGCAAGACCAGTGACTTATTTATTGCAAATACCTTTTTTTAGACAACGTAAAAGGCAATTAGTTGTCTTGGTGTGGTGCTGTAGGATAAGCATTGGACTGCTAACCACAAGGTCAGTGGTTCAAACCCACCAGCTGTTCCTTTGAAACCCTCTAAAGGGTTGCTGTGAGTTGGACCTGACTTGACATCACACAACAACCTACACATGGTTTTATTTAATAGCCTAAAAGATACATTATAGTAAGTCCTGAATAAGTAATTTAAAATGGAATGTATGTTGCATAGGGGCCTGTGAGTTGGAACTGAATTCACAGCACGTAACAAGTGGCATCATCGATGGACTCAAGTGTGGTAACAGTAGTGAGGTTAGCCCAGGATCGGGCAGTGTTTCGTTCTGCTGTGCATAAGTCGCTATGAGTCGGAACTGACCTGATGGCACCTAACAGCAACAACAGTAGCAATACACAGTTTATACCTTGTAATTCATAATGTCATGTAAGATTTTTAAAATTGTGATTGTGAGCCTGTTAATATTTGTATTTATATTTCAGACAGGAGAAAAACTTCTGGAACTCAGTGGCCACACTCAGAAGATAACTGCTATTATTCCATTTCCTTCCTTGGAATCTTTTGAAGGAAAAAATCAACAGATTTTGACAGCCTCTGCTGATAGAACAGTAATTATATCCTGAAATCTGGGATAGTATGAAATAACTGTAGTGACCCAAGGGGCCTGTGTATATATCCCTGTTACAGTAAAAATGGCTGTTTTAGCCTTTATAACACACTTTAAAAAAGTATTCTGCTTCTGGAGAGGGATAGATCAGAAATAGCAGGTTACAGTTTATTGATAGTCACCTTATGACTAATGTCATTTTTCCCAGAGTTACTATTACATCAAATTACGTAAAATGGAAGAAATGAGAGAAGATAGGCTTAAAAATATTTATTTTATGATCTCAATAAAATGCTTTTTTATTTCAGGAAGACAAAAATGAATTAGACTAGAGAGTAATCAGTATTTTTCTGTTCTTAACAATCTTTCCCCTGTACTTTTAGGTTAAAATGAAAATATAACAGTAATACCAAGGTTGTATATAGCAACCGTTATTCTAAGTGTTTTATATATTAGCCCATTGCCTTAATTCTCTAGTGCTGCTATAGTAGAACTAGTACAAGTGATGGATTTGTCAAACAGATGTATTGTCTCACAGTTCAGGGTGCTAGAACTTCAGGGTCAGAGTACCAGCTCCACGGGAAAGCTGTCTCTATTTGTCGGTTCCAGGAAAGGCCCTGCATCATTTCAGTATCTGTAGAGCTGGCATTCCTTGGCAATCTCCAGGTATCTTGGCATCAATCCCAGGTAGCTAAACCCATTGTCATCACATTGATTTCACTTCATCGTGACTAGATAGCACAGAGTAGAACTGGCTCTTTTCGTTTCCAACACTGTAATTTTTACAAGAGCAGACTGCTACATCTTTCTCCTGGAGTGGCTGCTGGGGTTGAACCTTTGGTTTAGCAGTAAGCACTTAAACACTGTGCAACTAGAGTTCGATGCTGGGACAGTATCAATATACATTATGCTTATAGATTATAATTCAGTCATTTCCTTTGTTGAGTGACTTTGCTAGTTTAAACTAAAAATCTGGGCTGCTTATTTGACAGTTTTTGACCAGATGAATTCTAAATTTACCCTGCTTGAGGCTTCGCTATTAGCCAGTTTTCTTAATTAAATGCTGAGGGTTTGGTTTTTAATTTTTGTCAAGTGATTTGTCTTCAAGAGCCCAGGTTCTTACTGCCATTGAGTCAATTCTGACTTACAGCAGTGTTGTAAATCTTTACAGACACAGAGAGCCTCAAATCTCTTCCCCAGAGTGACTTGAACTGCAGACCTTGTAGTTGGCAGCCAGGTGCTTATCCTTACAGCGCCACCAGGACACTTGATGAGCCCAGGCTACTGATGATCAAATATTCAGTAATTTTCAAATAGACTGATGTGACAGTATAGGATAAAGCACTGGATTGCTAGCCACAAGGTTGGCAGTTCAAACTCTCCAGCTGCTCCTTGGAAATCCTATACAGGGTCACTATGAGTTGGAACTGACTCAATAGTACAACAACAATAGTGAAAAGACTGTGAGATAATACATTTTAGCAAATTCAAGACCAGAAAATATTGTTTCAGTGACTGGGTGTACTTTTTCTGTGCCTTCAGTTTGTTTGATATATTTATTACATACATTATCTAAGGCAGTGGACATAGTAAGGTTAAGTAGTTTATAAAATTGGTTTTATTTTGTGTGAATAAGTAAAAATAATGTGTTCTAGACATGATGTGAAATGCATTTCTTTCCATAGAAAATGGTGTAAAAAGTTTGAAAAGGATTATGCTGCTTAACATTTTATGAGTAGTCTTCTAATTAAATTAAATGTGGATAATATGGTAATATGGTAATTGTAATACACTTATTACTGTCTTCTTTGAAGTAGGATCACAGTAAAATCATGTCAAGCAATTTGTAGAGACTTCAACAATTATTAGTAGATACGATAGCTACCCACACAATGTTTGTTAGATTATGGAAGACTACTTTGAAGAAAATCAACCTTGATATTTTAATGTAAGTATAGATTTAGTACCTAGATCTGCTTATTCTCTTAGCATTTCGAAATAGTTGGGTGGTCAAGTTCCCCTCAAACTTATCTTAGTTCAGAAGTCTTCTAAGTTGATGCTTATCATATGAGTTAATTTTTATAGTAGTATAAACACGATATATTTTATTCTTTATTTGAAGATTTTTCTAACTAAAAGTGTAACATTTGAGATTTTGTGGTTAGAAAACTTATCTCCTAATAAAGATTTTAAAATTCTGCTTTGACAGTATTCCTTAACCTAACTTTAGGTGTGGGATTGTGACACTGGCAGACCAGTTCAGAGAGTGTCGTGCTTCCAGTCTACTGTAAAGGTAACATCTTAAACACCAAGAGTTTGTTTGTGGATTAGGTTTTTGTTTCTAAAACCTGATTGGGGTATTGGTTGGAATTACCTTTGTAAGTTATAAAAACTATTTCTTTCACTTGCACTTATAGTTATTGGATTCTTCTTGGACTGGGTTTTCAAGACCACATTTATATGAAGTGCTAGAATGTAGAGCGTTTGAAAGTGAAATTACAGCAAGCTAAGGAAAAATGTACTTGGCTTTTACTGTAATGTGAGATGAATTGGCACAGTGTCAGCAACAAGGGGCTCAAACATAATGACAGTTGTGTGGATTTCACAGAACCGGGTAGTGCTTCATTCTGTTATATGGGTCACTATGGCACCAAACTCATTGGCACCTAGCAACATTTCCAAATCTAAAATAGTTGAAATCTAAAAGACAAGAAGTATTGGTAAGAACAATATCATAATATCACATGCAAGGAAAAGTTTCTAAAGGTCATTCAAAAATGGCTATAACCATACATTTACAGAGAACTTCCAGAGGTCCAAGCTTAATTCAGAAGTAAATGTGGAATGAGAGATATCATTTTAGATGTCAGATGGATCTTGTCTAAAAGCAGAGAATATCAGAAAGATGTTTACCTGTGCTTTATTGACTATGCACAGACTTTCTATTGTGTGGATCATGACAAGCTTTGGATAACATTACAGAGAACGAGTATTCAGGAATGCTTAATTATGCTCATGAGGGTCCTGTACATAGACCAAGAGGCAGTTGTTTGAACAGAAAAAGGGAACACTGAATGGATTAAAATTAGGAAAGGTATGCACCAGAGTTGTATTCTTTCACCATACTTATTCAACTTGTATGCTGGCTGAGCAAATAATCTGAGAAGCTGGGTTATATAAATAAAAAGATGGTGTCAGTGTTGGAGGAAGATTCATTAACAACCTGTGATATGCATGTGATAACAACCTTGCTTGCTAAAAGTGAAGAGAACTTAAAATTATGATGAAGATCAGAGACCACAGCCTTGTTTGTATCTCAGTGTAAAGAAAACAGAAATCTTCACCAGTGGACCAATAAATAACATCAAGATAAATTAAGAAAAGATTGAAGTTGTCAAAGATTTCTTCTTGCGTGGGTCCACCATCAGCGCTCATGGAAGCAGCAGTCAAGAAATCGAATCTGCTGCATGAAACCTCTTTACAGTGTTCAAGAACAAAGATGTCAGCTTGAGGCCTAAGGTACGCCTGGCCCCAAGCCATGGTATTTTCAATAACCTCATATGCATGTGAAAGTTGGACAGGGAATAAGGAAGACAGTAGAAGAATGGAAGCATTTGGGTTATGGTGTTGGAGGAGAATAATCAGAAGGGACCGCTCCTTGGAGAACGACATTATGCTTGTTAAAGTGAAGGGTCAGCGAAAAAGGAAGATGCCATGAGAATGGATTGCCATAGTGACAGCAGCAGCAATGGGCCTAGAGGCACTGTAGCAATGGTTGTGAGGTTGGCTCAGAACTGGGCAGTGTCGTTCTGTTGTGCTTAAGGCAGCTATGAGTCAGAACCAAGTCGACGGCACCTAACAACAACAATCCCGGCTTGTAAGGAGCATTTTGACTGTACTTCTTCAATGCAGATTTGTTTGTTCCTCTGGCAGTCCTCCTTGCTACTTTCATAATTCATATGCATCTATTCTTCTGTAGTCTTCCTTATTCATTGTTCAACTTTCATATGCATGAGGCTATTGAAAATACCTTGGCTTGGGTCAGGGCACCTTAACCCTCAAACTGACATCTTTTTTCTTGAACATTTAATATGGTAGTTCTTGTGCAGCAGATTTGTCTAACGGACATTTGTAATCTATGTCATATATTTAATTTGTATCTAAAAAGGGATTTATTTTAAGTACTGTGTATTGGTGGTAGTGGTGTTTAGTGTTGTCAAGTCTGTTCAGACTCATAGCAACCTTGTAACAGAGTTTCCAAGTTGCAGCTGATGGGCTTGAAATGCCGTCCTTTTGGTTAGCACCTCAGTGCTTCTCTACAGTGCCACAACAGGTAAGTCATCTATTATTGAGTAACAACTTCTCTGAAAACTAAATGGCTTTTAGCAAGAAACATCCTTATCTCACGGTGTTTGTAGTTGGGAGTCAAAAAGTGGCTTAACTGGGTGGTTTTGATTTAGTGTCTCTCATGAGGTTATTGCCATCTGAAGGCTTGAATGGGGCTAGTGGATCTAATTTTCAGGGTACTCACTTACATGGGAGCGCAGTGACTTCATTCATATGATGAGCACTGGACTACTAACCACAAGGTCTGTGGTTCAAGCCCACCAGCATCTCAGTGGGAGAATGATGAGGTTTTTGCTCCCTTGAAGATCTTAAGCCTGGAAAACCTGAGTTGTAACTGTCTCCACAGCACTTAACACTGCCAACAACAACTACCAACAACAACTAACATGCTTGGAAAATTACTGCTGGCTGCTGCTTGGAGTCCATGTCTTCACTGTAGAGCTAATGAGCTAGAAGAGTATAAGGAGGGAGCCAGCGGTCTCTTATCATCTAATGTTGAAGTCACACTCATTCCCTTCTACCACTTTCCATTTATTAGAAGTTATAGAGTCCTTACTCAGTTCTACTTGAAAAAGGAGAGTTTCAGAGACTTTGTGGGTATATTTTTAAGTTACCAAAATAATAAATGAATGCTTGTGTTTTTAAGCTGATCTATCTTTTAAATCAATTTTTCAGTGTTTAACAGTTCTTCAGAGACTAGATGTTTGGCTCTCTGGTGGAAATGACCTGTGTGTATGGAACCGAGAATTAGATCTCCTGTGTAGGACTGGTCACCTTTCTGATACAGGTAAAACACAAATCTAGGTAATTGTGAACTATATCTAATTGACTCTAAAAGACACTGTGAGTTTTCAAAGAGACTTTCTGTGAATACAAAGTTCAATATAGGAGATTTATTGTGCTAAAGATAACATGTAGCCACATTTCTTCAGTTCAGGTTTAAGGCTTGTGTAAAATCCCAAATTGGGAAGAGACCTTTCTCCAGCACACCCCCTCTGCTTTTGGCCTCTTCTTCCCTTCTACCAGAATTTCTTAAAAGTGATGAAGAACAACTGTTTCTATGAGCCCTTGGTCCATGTTGTGAGCTGCTTGATGAGCATGTGGACCCCTGTGTGACTTCACAGTACCATTTCCCTCATTGTGGGGTCATTGGCCTTTGATTAGATTCTTTAAGGATAACCTCATTTTGCTTCATATTTGTGCAAATTTACTAACAAAATTCTATTTCCTCAGAATTCTGTTGACTTAGGTTTTTGGCTTTACTAGATACCAAGGATCTTAAAAATAAAAATTAAAATCTATTTTGAGGATAAAAATATTTAAACATAAATGAGTACATTAAAATGGTGGGAGCCTTGATTTCATGTTTCATTATTAAATCGTTTTGTTTCTTAAAAGTAATGAAATGGTCTGTGGAACCGAATATTATTATACATATTGTTGATGTTTTAGAGGTACTAGGAGCCCTGAGTTGAATTTACAGTTCACTGTTGGAACTAGCTCAGTTCCACATTGATAATATAAAATATCAGAAAATTAATGGCATGTTTTAGCAAAAATTCATCAAATCCTAGGATTTATGATGTACTTCTCAGTTCATCATTTGATTACTAATCTGCTTGAATCTAGAATATAGCCTACTGTTTACTTTTATCATGAGTTGTTGCCAGGTGCAACAAGTCGAGTTGGTTCCAACTCAGAGACCATGTATAGGGTTTTTGAGGAGCAGCTGGTAGGTTTGAACTGCCAACCTTTTAGTTTGCCAGCCAATGCTTACCTTACAGCGCCACACAAGGAGTCTAAGTAACACTTTATTTACATGTACATTTTTTTCTGTTTCTCACACTAACCTGTTGTTGTTGTTAAGTGTTGTCAAGTCAGTTCTGACTCATAGCCACCCTGTATTGGGTTTTCGAGGAGCAGCTGGTGGGTTTGAATCACCAACCTTGATGCTAGCAGTCCAGTGCTTATTATAATGCCACACCAGGACTCCACACGAACCTGTAGTTATATTGTAAAGTATTGAAATAAGGGCTAAAAGAATCTTTTATATGTTAATGAAAATAACCAACTATTACTGCTTTGTCCTTTATTTTTAAGAGCTGTCTTTGAGTTGTTGTTGTTGTCAAGTGCCGTCAAGTCGATTCCGACCCACAGTGACCCTGTATAGGGTTTCCAAGGAGCAGCTGGTGCGCTTGAACTGCCAACCTTGCAGTTCAGACGGCTTTGCAGTCTGGCGCATTAACCCACAGTGCCACACCAGGACTCCTTGTCTTTGAGTATTATACATTAAATAATAAAGTATTGTCCTGTTTATTGGACTTTTTCAAGAGATAGCAGAAACTTTTGAAGAAATTTGTTGGAGAGCTTTAAAAGATTATAGTCCAGCATTGGTGAGCTGTTGGTGATACTGGTTTTCTAAATTACAGAAAGTTAGTTAACAGTACTGTACGATCTCTGTCTCATGATGCTCCTTACATAAACTTCATGATGTTCTGCTTGATTTATGGGCTAGCAAGGTCTTAAAGGGCATTTATTCAGCATTTGGAAATAAGCAAAGCTGATCTTAGTCAATATAATGCAATAGAAAGACCCTCTGAACTTAAAGACAGGACATCCATGCCCTTTCTAGCAATTCTGAGTTTTAAATTGCTACTTTTGGATTATTTGGTTTCCATTGTTTTCTCTTCAGAAACAATACTGTATTTTTACACAGATAAAGTGTGCTTCATATGGGTATGTTTTTGCAAACCACATAACCCCCGACACAGATTAGTTTCTTATGCACATTACATGTATGTGCGCAGTAGTTATGTGGGTATGTTATATGCACAAAATATGATGAATATTTTAGAACAAGGTGTGTTCTTTGAAATGGTCTCCTCTTCTCTCCTGTGTCCTCCACCGCCTTCTCTACTTCCCCGACTTCTTTATCACCAGTGGGGGAATAATTATGAAACATACTGTTAAAGTAAACAAATGTCGAGCAAACATTATGTCAGGAAATAGTTCATAAGTCACAATAGTCCTCGATGGCACTTAACAACAACAATATGTTCACATATAGATTATGTTAAAATAAAATCTAAATTGTGTATATTATAAATTGAATCTATATAAATTGCATATATATTGCAATGGAAAATTAACTGATAGTTTAATGAACAGGTTTTTGAGTTTGTGTTTTTTTTTTTTTTTTCCAACACAGAGGGTGGTTCTAAATCTAATATATCAACTCTGATTTGACAAAAGAAATAATTGTAACATCTTATAGAAGTTACGTTGTTGTTGTTAAGTGTCATTGAGTTGGTTCAGACCCATAGCGATCCTGTAGAGGATTCCAAGGAGGAGTTGGTGAGCTTGAACTGCCAGTTTTGCGCTTCAGAACAACTTTGCAATGCAGAACACAGCGCCACACCAGAACTCTACTATAGGAATTATGGTTACCCTAAAATGATTTCATGACTGAGTTATAAAAAGATGCTCAGAACTCTATAATTAAGTAAATGAATTGTGTTGAAATGCTGAATCTGATTATTTTAGAACTAGGAGGAATTTTATAAATACACTGATTATTATCTAACTTCTTTCATTGCAAGTGCTCGGCGTTCTTAACTTTACATTGAGGAAAACTCTAGTTTCATAGCTGGAGACTGTACATCTGATTTAAGCTAGCTGGTTTTAAATGAGTAATGGTAATTATCTTAATGGATCCCTGATAAGTAAGTGTGACTAAATATACCACTTTACCACAATAGTGAAAATCTTCAAAGAGCATATCCTACTATTCATACATCGGGAATGCCTTCCAAAGGACTCAAACCTAGTTTTCACACAATCGTTTTTCTTGTATATGCAAGCAAGGAAGAGCACATATGTAGCAGGCATAAACTTTGTGTATTTTATTGTTACCACCCCCCTTTATGGGCATGTTGACATAAAACTGAGAATTTTTCGGTTTTGATGTAATCAGTAAATCTTTGCTTTCTGTTTTGTTGAAGGGATTAGTGCTCTGATTGAAATACCCAACAACTGTGTTGTAGCAGCAGTTGGTAAAGAACTGAGTGAGTATTATTCTTTTTTTCTTCTCAAATTTTGAGCTAGTGTAATTATGAGCTAGGCTAATTTGTTTTATAGTGAAGGGATATTCTGCCCCTCCTTCAGTCTTGGCTTCCTGGAACTGTTGAAATAATATGGAGACTGAAATATTTTTAGGATGATAGGTCAGTTTTTTGTACACCCACTCTTAATAACATGATTAAATTCCAAAGACTAGGTCATTCTGTGAAAATTGGCCTTATTTTAAATTGTATGATCACCTAAGATCACGAAATGGATCTTAGTAGTCACATCATTGCACAGCTGCCCAAACTATATCACTACATTACATAGCTGCCAAATTACATCATCGTGTAACCTCCAAACTACTGAGAATCGTGCCCAACTATGTTGCCGCATAACCTTAACCATCACAGCCATCGTTGCACTTGTATCATACTTGAGCATTCTTTACTGCCAAATTTGGGACATTAATGTGCAAAGTAGTTGTACAGTGGATATCATACTATGATCATAAATGTGAAATATCAGTCAGTGTGAGAGTTGTTAAGTGAGGCGTAGATGTACTGCACTTTTTTAAACATAAACCAAGAGAGCAAGCTGACTGCTGTATAGGTGGCCACCCCACTCCTCTGGTGCCAGAGAGAACCATTTATACCCCACAACCCTCTTCCTTGTTCAATAATCATAGACTCAGCAAAAATTATTACCACATGGAATAACAGCATTCTGGAAACGAAAAGTGTGTATGTGGGGGAGGGCAGGGTGGTGTAGAGAGGCTGGAGAAGTATTATTTGGGGAAGTTACTAAAGCAGGAACTGGGACATTTTTGCCTCAAGAAACCGGAGTGGGTCCGATTTCTGTAGGGGGAGGTTTATGCCATTTCCCCCAGAGGAGAAGGACAGCAAACTCCTAGAGAAAGCTGCTGTGTTCACTGCCTTATCAATGGAATTTAAGGACTTACAAGTGATACTGTAAGCACACTTTTGGTAAGCTGCTTTCTCTGGAAGATTTTTTCCTTACGTAGCTTGATGCTGTGCTACTTTTTCTAGAGATCTTCCCTGGGGTTTACTGTGACTGTTGGCATATATGTGAATGTGGGATAAGAGATAATTGTTCACCATTTGCTAATTTCTGTCCATAGGCTGTACTGATTAAAGGCAAGTTTCTCTTTCTTCAACTGACCTTTGCATATGTAATCGTGTCTGAGAAGTACTTTTCTAGACCTTGTGCTTGGTTCTCTTTTCATAAAGTAATTTCTAAAGGTATACTTTTGTGTTCAGTTTTTTTCTTTCATTGAAGAAACTGAGTTTTCATGTATTCTCCATTGTAGCTGGAAGAAATCTATACCCTTCTCCTTGCCTTTCTTCCCTTCCAACTGATCAGTTATTCCTTATTATACTGACCCTTTAACTCAGTGTTTCTCAAATGTTAGTGTGCGTTAGAATCAACTGATGGGCTTGTTGAAACACCAGTTACTCGCACCAGCCTCGAGTTTTCAGTTCAGTAGTTCTGGAATGAGGCCTGAGATTCTTTATTTCCAAGTTACTTGGTGATGCTAAGGTGCTGATTCAGGGGCCACATTTTGAGGACTGCTCTAAATGTTTTCCTCTTCCCTCTAATCTCACTACCATTCCTCTATTCAGATTCTCATTCTGTCTTGGCTTGTTGGCTGCAGTACCATCCTAACTTTTCTCTTTTCCATTGGTTTAATGTTTCTCAGTTGTCTTCTCCAGTAGATGCCAAAAGGATCTATCTAAAATTCAGGCTACTTCCCTCTTAAAAGATTTAGTGACTTCTTTTTGTAGTTACTCCTAGATTCAACTTTTGCAACTTTCAGGACAAAATTAAACAACTTTTGGAAATCAGCATAGAGTTACTAGATTTTTATGTTTCTAAGTTAAATATGTTTTGCTAAGTAAAAACATAGACTAAGAGGCAGTTGTTCGAACAGAACAAGGGGACACTGATTATTTTAAAAACAAGAGAGATGTGTGTCAGGCTTGTATTCTTTCATCATACTTACTCAGTCTGTATGCTGAGAAATAATCTGAGAAGGCAGATTATATGAAGAAGAATTTGGGATCAGGATTGGAGGAAGACCTATTAACAACTTTTGATATACAGATGATACAATCTTGTTTTCTGAAAGTGAAGAAAACTTAAAATACTTACTGAGGAAGATCAAAGACCACCACCTTTGGTAAGGGTTGCACCTCAATGTGAAAACAAAGTCTCACCACCAGAAGAGTAAATAACATCCTGTTAACTGGAGAAAAGATCCAAGTAGTTAAAAGACTTCATTTTGCTTGCATCCACCTTCAACACTCATGGAAAAAGCCTTCAAGAAATCAATGCTGTATTGCATTAGGCAGATCTGCTACTCAAGACCTCTTGTTGAAGAACGAAGACATCAGTTTGAGGACTAATGTGTACCTGACCCAAGCCATGGTCATTTTCAACAGCCTCATGTGCATGTGAAAGTTGGACAGGGAACAAGGAAGACAATAGAAGAACTGATGCATTTGAGTTATGGTGTTGTAGGAGAGTATTAAAAGTATAATGGACTGCCAAATGAACAAACAAACATATGTTGCAAAAAGTACAGCCAGAATGCTCCTTTGAAGGTGACCCTTTGTCTCCCATTACTTCAGATATATTAATCAGAAGTGACCAGTACTTGGAGAAGGACATCATGCTTGGTAAAGTTGAGGGTCAGCAAAAAAGAGGAAGACCCCAAATGAGAAGGATTTTTTTAAAGGCATTTTACATTATGCTTAGTTTTATCATAAAATAAATGAATACCACATCTTCATGCAATTAATGTGTGCATTGTACATGGTTTGAGAATAATAAAATACTCTTATGCATCCGTTTCTTATGTACTATGGTCTTTATACTACCAGTCATCTGTTACTTTACCACACTGTGGTCACTTACATGTTGCAGTGAGTCTAGAAACTCTGCCACTGGTGACTTAAATACCAGCAGGTCATCCATGGTGGACTGGTTTCAGATGTGCTTCCAGACTAGGAGAGACTATGAAGGAGAAACGGACTGCTTCCGAATATTTAGTCACTGAAAACCTTATGAATAGCAGTGGAACACTGTCAGATGTCATATGACGAAGAACAGCAGAATATTGTCAGTTACAGTGCCAGAAGATAAACCCCTTGGGTTGAAAGAAATATGACTGGGGAAGAGCTGCCTCCTCCAAGTCCAGTTGACCACGATGACGCTAACAGAGTAAAGCTTTTGCTGATGGGGTACAACTCAAAGTGAGAAGAAACATGTAAATATCCATTGATAATTGGAACATGGAATATGCAAAGCACAGATCTGGTAAAAATGTAATGTGTCACAAATGAAATGGCATGCATAAGCATTGATCTCGTAGGCTTTAGTGAGCTGAAATGGACTGGTAATGGTGGTTTTGAATCTGTGGACCACATGGTTTACTGTGCTGGGAGTGAAAACTTGAAGAGAAATAGCGTTACATTTATCATCTAAAAGAACATTTCAAGATCAATCTTAAACTACTATGCTGTGATGAATAACATCCATATACCTACAAGGAAGATCAGTTAATGCAATTATTATTTAAAATTATGCACCAACCACTAAAGTCAGTAATAATGAAATTGAAAAATTCAACCAACTTCTTCAATTGCTCATATGCAAATTCAGAATGAAAATGAAGAAAATGAAGACCAGTCCACGAGAGCCAAAATATGACCTTGAATATATCCCATTTGAATTTAGAGGTCATCTGAAGAACAGATTTGATATATTAAACACTAAAGAACAAAGACGAGAGAGGAGTTGTGGGATGGCATCAAGAATATCATACAGGAAGAATGCAAAAAGTCATTAAGAAAACAATAAAAAATGAAAAGATCAAAGTGGATGTCAGAAGAGACACTGAAACTTGCTTTCCAGCATAGAGATGCTGAAGCAACTGGAAGAAATGAGGTGGTCCAAGAGCTGAACAGAAAATTTCAAAGATCAGATCTAGAAGACAAAGTCAAATTATTACAACGAAATGTGAAAAGATCTGGAATCAGAACATCAAAAGGGAAGAATACGCTCAGCATTTCTCAGACTGAGAGAACTGAAGTAAAAATTCAAGCTTCGACCTTCATTATTGAAGAATTCTTTGGGCAAATTATTGAATGATGCAGAAAGCATTAAAAGAAGATGGAAGGAATACATAGAGCCACTGTACCAAAAGGAAATGGTAGATGTTCAACTGTTTCAAGAGGTAACATATGATCAAGAGCCAGTAATACTGAAGGAAGAAGTCTAAAGTGCATTGAAGGAATTGGCAAAGAACAAGGCACCAGGAATTGATTGAATAAAAATTGAAATCTTTCAAGAAAGTGAGGTGGCACAGGAGGAACTCACTCATCTTTGCCAAGAAATTTGGAAGACAACTATCTGGCCGACTGATTGGAAGAGATCTGTATTTGTGCCAATTCCAAAGAGAGGTGACCCAACGGAATGCAGAAATCATCAGACTATCCCTTTGATATCCCAAGCAAGTAAAAGTTTCACTAAAGTTAATACAGAAACGGCTGCAAGCATACATTGACAGAGAACTTCCAGAGATTCAAGCCAGATTCAGAAGAGGACGTAGAATGAGGGAAATCATTGCTGATGTCTGATGGATCTTGTCTGAAAGCAGAGAATGCCAGAAAGATGTTTACCTGTGCTTTATTGACTATGCAAAGGCTTTCGATATGT